AGTTCTCCATAGTCCACTAACCACTGTTGCAGTGTCTTTAAATGCCAAATGACTTTTATTGCTCTTCCAAAATTTTTAAAAAGGATTTTTGTTGGTTTGTTTACATCAAACTCTTACTTCTGTCTTCGAGACAGTTTCTCAATGCCAATCTATCGCTTTACCACAATTACCACAATTACCACCACCTCTGCCACCATAATACCACATGCAATCATAATCGACCTGCTGGAAAAAATGGTAATTAAATCCTGAAATGGATCAAAGGAATATAAATTATATATGCAACAAAATGTATAGCAAGTGTTCATCAAATTGGCTATAATCTCCTTTCCCTTAATATTGTATGTGTGCTGAGAGTCTGTCTACTTTCCCTCCTTCCTTCCTTTTTCCTTCTTTCCCTTCTTTCCTTCCTTCCTCTTTCCTTCCCTTCCTTCCTTCCTCCCTTGTCTTCCCCGCTTTCTTTCTGCTTTCCTTCATTCTTTTCATTTTGGGGGGTTTGTTTCTTTTGTTTCTTCTTTCATTTTATCATTTTCATTTTCTTTCTTCTGTTTGATTTATATTTTGCACCTTGTGCCCTTAGCTTCCTAGTCTGGGCTCCTTCTGATTCTTCAAATGCAGGCTCTGCATATACATAGCACAATACCTGCCTCCTTCTAGCAATGATTTGAGGGAACAGATGACAAACCTAAGAAAAGTCAGTGGAAAAGATGGTTGAGATAGTTCATTTCACCCTTATATTCTCTCCTGCTATTTTGGTGGTATCGTTACTTAGTGTGATGAGAGTTCTGTGCTGTTGCTAAAACTTATAGAGAGGGCCAATAGGCAGAAGTAGCTGCTATGTCTGTTCTTGGAAGTTGTTGGAAATCAAAAGGAAAACATTAACAATTCTTTTGGGATCCATATCTTGTGTTTTACTGAGGTGTCCTAAGGAGTCATCTCTCTGCATATGTTTATAGGAAGCTCTCCAGTGGTGCCTTCTGTCTGTCTCATGTCTGTCGGGTGGAAACCGGTGCCTGACGCCATGACGCAAGTACTGGCTTTTCCTTCCTCCACGTCCCGAGTCTCCCTGTCTTTATAAGGGACTAACCTGCTGAACATCAAGCACTCTTGCCATGGGTACAACTGTGTGCCACTCCCCTGGCCAAACTCTCCTGGCTCTTGAACTTATATAGACAAATTCACAATGTTGTTAGGTTATGATTTATGATTTGTTTTTGAAATTGCAAAATCACTTTGATGTGAACTGCTGTTCTCCGAAACCATTCCAGATGTTTTTAAAACTCCAGAATTATCAAACAAAAATAAAACGTAATAATAATAATTGCTAATGTTACGGAAAGAGAGCTCATCAGTAATTTAGGTTTGGCTAAGTATCTTGGCCTGGTTTGTGCATTTTTTTGGTTGGGCAAAATTTGTTTGGCCAAGCGTTTCCCCGTTAATTTTTAAGCCCCTGAGTATTACAGAGGAAACTTAATCCATATGTTTCTGGTTCACTGCCTCTTAAATCGTCAAAATGTTGTTTTCCAAAAGCTTTTTAGTGTTAAAAGAATTTATCGGACACTACACAAGTTTTCGAAAGTGTTTTTTACCTCAACTGGTAGATCCCAGTGGACGTGAACTCAAACTCTTAGAGTTTGGTTCTAAATTTAACATCAACAAAGCTTGACTGGGGACCAAAGCAGCCCGACAGCAGTGAGTGCTTTGAAAAGTACTACATTATTGGAAGAACACATGTGTTGAATGGAATGTACAAGTAAAAGCACACCAAAAAGCAGTTTGAGGGATGGATGGCAAGCCTTCCAAGGAATGACTGTTGTGTAAATTTCTATTTGATGAGCTTTCCTTTACATTCTAATTTTCCAGCCACTTCTCCCCAGGCCCTTTAGCTGCATTGTATCCTGGGTAATTCCATTTCCTATACAAAAAAGAGATTTTTGTTTTAAACTAAGTATTCTGATAATCTTGTCAGAGTGAAAAGGATAAGGAAAAAGACATAAGAACTTATTGTCTAGAATGTATCTTGTAATTTCCATAATTCACTAAAAAATTTATTCCCTGCCAGTTTATTTGATTTAACATCATCCAAAGTGTAAGGTTACACAGAATAAATAGCTAATTGGGTTAATTTAATAGCAGGTTAAATCTTTCTTTTATTTTGTCTAAAAGGCACATTAAAATAGTGCAATTTTCAAGTGGTCTTGGAAATCTAAAGTAGAGTTTCTTGATAAAAAAAATATATATAGCTTTCCCACTGCTGAGTTTATAGTGGGAGTTGCTGGCAAGCTTCCAGTTCACCGCATGAAAATCTAAGCTGCCTGTATAAGTGCAGAATTTAGTGTTGGGTCTTAAGGTTTTGTTTGGCATCTTGCCAAAGATGTTATGCATTTAGCTGGGAAAATTGCCTAGAAGTTAATTGAGAGGAAAACACTAATATACAACCTCCCCCCCTTAAGAAAAAAAAAGCCACAGATATGCATATGGTGCTGTTCATTGATAAGATTTGTATGTATACAATAAGGACTTATAGTAAAGTTGCTTAGAATGGATTTTCACTGATTATCCACCCACCATATATCTGCTCCTTTGAGAATGCTGGTAGTTTCTCCAGGATCCGGATTTCTCCATCACAGTGCCTGCTCAGTAGAGGCACGAGAGCACTGAAGTTCCTTTAAAAATGTTACTGACTCAAGGATAGGTGATGATTCAGGAATTCGGAAGAGGATATGTATTAATTTAATTTTGTAATCAAATATCTCAAAAGGGACACTTTGGTGCAGGATCTCAGTGTCTTCTCTCCAGAGAAGATAGGTGGAATTTGCTCTGTACTCTCCTATAAAAGGACACTTCAGCCTCCACTGAACTTCTCCTTTCCCCCGAGAACCACCAGTGCCTGAGTAAGCTCTCACGTTTAGTCTCCTCAGGGCTGAAGGAGCACTTCTTGTTCAGAAATTCATGACTTTTTAATTTTATCAATAGTCTTTTTTACCTGAATTTTGCATTTGCTAACCCTGGCAGCTGACTTGTATTTTCTTCTCTCCTGAATTTTCTCTCTAGTGCGTTAACTATACTTCTCCTCTTTAGTCTGTGACCTTTTCGCTTCTGTGGCATGCCCCCCCCAACCCCCCGCCAACTTTGTTTTTTGGTTTATTTGTTTTTTTCTGATCAATAACCACGACAGAGACGCACTAGAATCACCAAAGAATTCACTGCATGTATGTCCCACTTCGAAGTGAAAGTAAAGAAAGCTGGTCGTATATTTTTGTTCATTGCATTTAGATTAAAATTTATCTGGGAGAACCCACTCACACAATCATGCCCAGGAGTAATTAAATCACAGTTCCCCATACTTTCCATTCCTCCACAACCCCCTCCTTTCTTAGAGATGCCTTAAGCCTTGGATAGAAAAATAATACTTCCCCAAAATCCAGTCCAGCCTGAAGCTGGAAAGCCTTGCTCTTAAATGACAAAGCTCCCAGTAAGTGGGCTTCTTGGTCACTTTCAGAGCCTTTCTTTATGGTTCTCACTATGGTCTTGCAGAAAGAGCTCGGAGGGGGAGGGCAGTTAAGACAGAAGAACAAAGCTGGGGGGTATGCTTTGGGCCCGCAAGGGAGAGAAAAGTGATCCTTTCATTAAGACGAGTGTTCTTTTGTACCTGCACTGTATCCTTTTGATGTGTTGAGGTAGAAAGGACATGAGGAAAGAAGAAACAATGAGAGTTGCTACTGTATGAATTCCTTCTCCTTATACTTAATCCTGTCCTTATTGGGGCCTTGGGGGGAAAGCTGATAATTTTGGTGAGCCCTAAAAGGAAGGCAGTGGCTTGAATTCCTGCCACCATCCCCTTGATAATGAACAAGCCTAATGAATGCGGGTAAGTGGTAAGAATCTGTGACCAGCTGCATCGGGGCAGGTAATACAGCTCAGATTTAATTGGGAGCAGGTATTGGAAGGCTGTATTACTTTAATTGGTGAGGGGTTTTCTAAATGGAAAGGACAAAGTATAATGGACAAATTGTGTAGTACAATAGCACTTAAGCTGGGATTGTATGCATTCGTTAATCTGCTGAGGAATGAGGCAATTCTAAACAATTTTCTCAGTGAAACCAACTCCAGAAAGCTTGTCCCTTTTGTTCTCCCTTGGGAAAATGCAAGATTGAAACAGAAAATACCTTTACCGAGGCAATCATTTGCCACGTGTGGAAAGCGGATACAGCTGTAAACTATGAAAAAGGGATCTTTGTAGTACAATAAAGGATGGAAAAAGAGATAAAGCTTGGGATAAGAGTGGGCCTGTCAGTGCATCTGAAGGAGGAATAAAGTGATGGCATTTACAGTGACAGATGAGACTCTAAAGAGAAGGCAGGACAGTTTAGAGAGGGAAATTTGATATTTAAAAGAAAGGGCTGTGATAATTAAAAGTAGCATTACATTAAGCTGTTACGCATATCATTAATGACAGAAGGAAACTGGTGGCTTTAAAAAAGTTAATGATTCCTATAAAACCATTCTGGATACCTTACATTTTTTAAAAGTCTGTATGAACATAAACCTGACCTCTCGGGTTGTATTTCTGATTCCCAAATTTCCTTAAAAATATAAAACGCAATGAAGTTGGAATTAAACTCCAATAATTGTGTGTCACTGTCCATGGAAGAGTGCTCAAGCGCTACTCAGCTAAGAAAATGATGGACTGAGACCAGCAGCGTACACATTGCTGCAAAGGGCTCTCTTATTAAGATGTGGGCATGAAATGAGCCCAAGGGATATTCATTGTCAAACGTGCATTAGTGCCTTGTTTCTTTTGATCATTTATATTTGACAAAATCCAATAGCATATCTATGGAAGGGCATTAAAACTGCTTCCAGATTTGTGATTCAGTGATGGGTGAGCTCTGACGAGGTTGCTGAACAGGATTCTCAACAGGTTGAAACCTAAGAGTGGAAGAGCAACTGTATTGAAATTCTTAATGGGGCTTTTACACTTGTATATTTCATTACAGGTGGGAAAACTGGAAAGATTGAATGTCCTTTGGAGTTCACAGAGGTTTGGCAGTGGGAGGAGAAAAACAAAACGAAGCATAGTGGGAGTGTTGAACAGACTTTCCCAAGATCCCCAGGTGGGTTTCATGTATTGCCTAATGGGAAGAGTGGGACCGATTCAGCTTTTCACACTGGCTGAATTATCTTACCTTGCCTATTGTTCACAGCTAGAACCAAATCTACAAAGCTACAGTTTATCTAAAGAATTCTTTGGAAATAAAACTATTTTGCTATCCACACATCTAGATCCCACCTATTGGACAGCACAGGCTGTAGCCTCAGTCTCTAAAGTCCAGACTATAAAATTAAAAAAAAAAAAAAAGTTCTCAGTGTGAAATCGTATTTATTCTAAAAGTAAAGAATACAACTTTTTCTGGCCATTGGCACATCATAGCAAAATTCTGCTTGAAACTTAGCCAAAGATGCCATAAACTATAAGTAAAACGAAAGCTTCCTCATGTTCATCAAAGCATATTCATGACGACAGTCAGGAGACCCACTACCTTCACATTTAAAGAGATGTTTCGAATAATGGCCACCGAAATTCATTACTGGGCTTCCACATTAAAAAATTAAAGCCTGTCAAATTCCTTGGGCCAGATTAGAAGTAAAATAGAAAATAAATAGCTAGAGTTCCAAACCATTATCTATTTTAAAGGTTGTGATGTGGAGCATTGAAGTGCTAATCTATATTGCAATGCCATCCAATCTTTTAAATTGAGTGCATGTATGTGTGTGGGTATAGTTTGAATATGATAAAAGTTGTTAATATGTGACTATGCTATGTGCAAGAATGACAAAAACTCAAAATCAGAAAAAAATTAATCAGAACAGATCAAGTTTGTATAAAACTGCTATCTTCCTGGCTGCTAGAGTTAAACTGAAACATTTTCCTGTACTTGCCTTATCTGCACATTCATTTCTCCTTACCAAAAGAAGTAGAGAATGTCTCTCCTGGTAAAAGTTGTATATAAATTTTAGCTAACAGCCATTCAGCGTTGGCAATATCAACTTATAAAAGACTCCATTATCCCAAGAGCCATTTACACTGGGAATGTGAATAAGAAGAATCTTGACACACACACAGGCAGGCGCGTGCATGCACACACACACACACACACACACATTTATTGATTACCTACTATGGGTCATTTAATCCAGCTAGTTGATGATGTCTGCTTCTTACCAACCACAAACTCAGCAACTGTAGTTATTTTCTACAACATTCAATTAGGGGTTTAGTAATCATAAATATCAAGAAAATAGAGATTTTAATCAAATTTAGTAAGGCAGAAATTATACAGATATAATTATACTCTTTTCTACCACTGAGCTATGCAAAGGTATAATCACTAAGTGGAGAATTAAAGTAGCATTCTAATAGAACTTGAAAGTTCTATGAGACGAATTCCTACATATTTAGATACTATCCCCTGAAACTTCTGGTTCTGTACCTCTCCATCATCCTTTAACCTTATGACAATGATATCAGCTAAAAATAACACCCAATTCTCCTCTTGTAAGGAGAAATTTTTAATGTAGGACATTTAGGTTTCATTTTTATGTTCAATATTTATCATTTATGCTCTGCATCTAGAAAGTGAGAGAGACAGATACAGAGAGGGAGAGACAGACATACAGACACACATGCACACACACATATATGCACATCCATGCATGCTTAAAATAAATATTAAATGTTATCACAAGACAATAAGTAAAAAAATATTATAATGAAATTCACAAATAGTTTCATACATGGAAAAGAGGTTGAAATTTTAGGAGGCACATTGTTACCTCTTTCAATGACAATAATGGATAAATAGGAATCTCAATGAAGAACTATTTTCCTCTTAACCTTTATTAAACATTCCCATGTATATGTATATATGGCCAGTAAAGGAAATTACAAAGTGATGATATTAAATATTACCATTTTTGTGTATTTAGCTAAAATATATCTGTATAGAGGGAAATATATTATTTTAAATAATAAATTTATCAGATGCATCTTTAAAATAAATTATATTTATGCATTGACATTGAATAAAGTCTCTGAAATCTCACAAAGTGAATACTGACGGTTCTATTTTGGGATTATTCAACTATGTCTGGAGCATATATACATTTTGTGCTTTTGTAAAATGTAATTAATTAGTCAATAAAATAAAAAGAACTTCTCAAGAGAAGTGCCTTTCTACTGTTCAAAATAGAGATTGAAACCTGAGAAATGAAATGAAAAAAGAAAAGGGAAAAAATGGAAGCTTCTTATAGTTTAAAAAAAAAAAAAAGTATGGAGTTACAAGTAAGATTATCTGCATAAAAGCAGGTTTCTAAAAGTTATGCCCACTTCATAAAAAGGGCAAATAAAATATCCACTCCTCCAAACCATAGTAGAAGAAAATAAGCTTTCATGTTTTCAAGGCTCTGGTGTAGAAAAGTTTTCTATGAGAAATAGAAACATTAAATCTGTGCCACACTCAGGTGTTGAAGCCAGAATTTATTAAATTTATTTATTTCTCTTATTGTAGACAACACAAATTTGTTATCTTAAAGTCCTGATTTGGAATTTTTAAAATTTGGAAATCTCGAGATACATATGCCAAAAGCTCTAGCAGAAAAAATGGCAAAACCATCTATAGAAGAAATCCATAATACAGGGCATCTAGTAAAGCTACAGAAAAAATAATACTGCTAAAAATGAACTCAATGATTTCAAGGAACCACCGCATAAGGAAATGTGCCAGCATGGAGAGAACCGGCAGATACAACAAATAGGAGAACTGTTATTCTCACATACCCACATTGATACAATAACCTAAAAATTAATGCAAAATAATTGTGTTTAAAGTAAATTGTGAAAATTTGGAATGAAAATCACATTGACAGAATAGCAAGTTATGGGGAAGAAAGTAGAATTTTGAAAGAACCATGTCTTAGTCAATTTTCTGCTGCTAGAATAGAATACCAGAGACTAGCTAATTTCTAAACAAAGCAGAGATTTATTTCTTACAGTTCTGGAGGTGGAGAAGTCCAAGATCAAGTGAATTGGTGAGGGACTTCCTGCTGCACGATCTCATGGCAGAAGGGGGAGAGGCAAGAGAGCACATGTGAGAAAGAGGAGAAGAGCTGAACTCAGGAACCCACTCCTGCAATAACTAACCTAACCTGTGATAATAGCATTAATCCATTCATGAGGGCTCAGGCCTCATGAAATCACCTCTCCAAAAGCCTACCTCTCAATGCTATTGCATTGCAAATTAAGTTTCCAACATATGAAGTATGGGGGACACATTCAAACCATAGCAAAACCACAAATAATTTCAATTTTATAATACCTGAACTCAAATAATAAACAAAAATAATACATCTTTATTTTTATGAAATGCCCCATTATATATGTGTTTGTTGAAAGACAACCTAATTAATTCATTATTTGTATATAATTATTGAAATTTAGTAAATGACAATGTATAAATAGCATTAGGTAATAACTGAGAACAACCAGTAACAACAAAAAGTAAAAAGAAATGATCAGGAAATGTTAAACTTGACTATGGAGACACTGACACTTTCCTAGAGGTCTTTGAAAATAAAAAGGGAGTAAGGAAAGTGTTTCTAGACTTGTCAAAAATAGGAACCCTTGGGGTGTGGTGTCAGCAAAATGGCAGACTAAGACGTGCCAAGCTCTTATTCCTCAAACATAAACACAAAAAATAAAGTAAAATAAAACATAAATAGTGTGAACCAACTTTGCAGAAGCTCTGGAAAACAGTTTTACAGCAACTAAGCACATGCTCAGTCAAGAAAAAGCGTCTTCAAAATGGTAAAAATGTTTAGTGGTGGTTTTGTTCTCCATCCCCCAGACCCTTCACAGTAGGTGATGGTGTGCTTTTCAGCTGTGACAGATTAGTTACCAATTCCCCACTTCAAAGTGAAGGAAGAAGAGCAGACTTTACTCGAAAATCATTGTGTATGTTCATCCTAACCTGACTAGAGAAGCACTTGAAGAACTGACTTGCTCATCTCTGTCTCGTATAGTTCAGAGTACAGGCAGGAAAAGCAACAGGAACGTCTCATAAAAACCAGAAGAGGACAAAAATTCCACAGACATCTGCAACTAGAGACTCTAGGTAGAGATACACAATATACCAGCTAAGGCCCAGAGGAGAAACACCTTAAGACTCTTTGGGAAATTAGGGTTTTCAAAAAGAATTGTTTATACAAGGGGATTTAGAAGGTTATTAGCATGCCCCGGAAAGACACATGCTCAAAATTCCTTAAAAGTCCTTAATCTTTCACCATGGTTGAATCCTAGACTCCTGGAAGGCCTAGAAAATTCATGAAGAAGTACATTAGCACAGAGGCAGTCTATAAAATCTGAGAAAGGTGGCTGTCCATTTGTTTATTTGTTTGTTTGGGGGTTTTTTGTTTGTTTTTGTCTGTTTCAGATCCTGAAATTCAAGAAAATCTTTGTCAAAGTATTAGCTGAGTGCAAGCAAAAGGTATCAAAATAGTGAGTACACACACCAAAGAATAGTCTTCGCAAAAATAGTTTGTCTCAAGACAAATAGACTACAACAGACTTTAATAATCAAAACAGAAACACCAACATAGAGAACCTAAAGAATGAAGAGAATCTGATTTTCAAAGTCATCACATTATAAAAATCAAATGTCAATCTTCAACAACAACAACAAAATTCACAGGGCACAAAAAGAAACAGGAAAATGGCTCATTCAAAGGAATAAAATGATTAATTGGCATAAACTGTTGCTGAGAAAGCCCAGATGCTAAAGTGACTTGACATTTGCTCAACTAGATAAGAGTGAATTTTGACAAAGAAGTAAAGGAAATTTGGAACATGATATTTTATCTGAAGGAGAATATCATCAAACAGAGAAATTATAAACAAGAACCACACAGAAATTCTGGAGCTGAAAAGTACTACAACTGAAGTTTTTTAAATTACTTGTGGAGATCAACAACAGATTTGCAGAAGATGAGTGAACATGAAGATAGGAAAATTGAAATCATTGAGTCTGAGGAGCAGAAGAGAAAAAGGAGTGAACAAAAG